GATCATTTTTCTCGATATATACCGAATAACAGCCTTGTTCTTAAATATTTGTTGTAAAGGTACACAAATGTTACTCGATATACTTGTACTAAGGTATGATATGTCAATACATATTTCATCATGAAAGCATTAATAATCTAAAAGTATTCATTTTCATTCGAAATGGGATGTTAAATTGGTAGATTACCCAATGAATTCTCTTCTTATCTAACATATCATCCTTTCCCAGTAGCAACTTCAATTTTCAGCCATTCATCTCAGATCTTTTAACTCGTATGTCCTACTTAACAACAGATTGATTGTTTATTACATCTCAGTCGTCTTTAATATTGCATGAAATACCTGCCACTGAACGTAGAGCAAACCACTATTAATCAATCAACAAATTTTGATAGATTTTGATGTATGCCAATTACAATGTGTATTTCATCATAGAAAAATGAATAATGATTGATTCAGGCTCACGTGTAGACAATATAAATTAATTTTAGAATTCCTTCCGTCGTTTTTCTGTTTTTTGAAATTCATATTTCAAACATTTCTCTTACATTTTGTGAAATGCGTGATCAACAAAATAATAATTAACATGATTAAAAAAAAAGACAAAATGAATATGGATTATAACGTTTAAAAATTCTTTCCTCGCCTACCGAAACAAGGCTTGGAATGAACCATTTGATATGGCTCATATAATACAACACGAAGTAGTTCATAGAATCGGCTGCTCGGAGTTTTATGTATTTTTATTTGTATACATGCATTGCTTTTAGTTTTATTTGTATTGAATACCGTTGTTTTTTTTATATAACTATCTGAGATATTCTGTACGGTATTTATCAATTATGAAAAGGTTTATTAAGCTAATGAGATAAAAATAAATAAATATATTCTAGTATTTTAGAGATGATTAAGAAGATTCAGATTCAGATTTAATATTTTATCATACTAGTCTCACTTCGTGCAATGTATATATACAGAACATACAGAGTATAATTATACACAATGTAAAACATACAAATGTTGAATGTTTAAAACGAATGTTGAATGTTTAAAACGAATGTTGAACGCTTGAATGTTGAATGTTGAATGTTGAAAACGAATGTTAAATGTTTACAACGAATGTTGAATGTTTAAAACGAATGTTGAATGTTTAAAATGAATGTTGAATGTTGAAAACGAATGTTGAATGTTGAAAATCGAATGTTGATAACGAATGTTAAATGTTGAATGTTGAAAATCGAATGTCGATAACGAATGTTGGATGTTAGAAACGAATGTTGAATGTTGAAAATCGAATGTTGAAAACGAATGTTGAATGTTGAAAACGAATGTTGAAAGTTGAAAATCGAATGTTGAAAACGAATGTTGAATGTTGAAAACGAATGTTGAATGTTGAAAACGAATGTTGAATGTTGAAAACGAATGTTGAAAGTTGAAAATCGAATGTTGAATGTTTGAATGTTGAATGTTTAAAACGAATGTTGAATGTTGAAAACGAATGTTGAATGTTGAAAACGAATGTTGAAAGTTGAAAACGAATGTTGAAAGTTGAAAACGAATGTTGAATGCTGAAAACGAATGTTGAATGTTGAAAACGAATGTTGAATGTTGAAAACGAATGTTGAAAGTTGAAAATCGAATGTTGAAAACGAATGTTGAATGTTGAAAACGAATGATGAAAAAAAAAATTGAAAAAAAAGTTTAACAAATAAAAAAATTTGAATGTTGAATGTTGAAAACGAATGTCGAAAGATGAAAATCGAATCTTGAATGTTGAAAACGAATGTTGAATGTTGAAAATTGAATGTTGAAAACGAATGTTGAATGTTGAAAACGAATGTTGAAAGTTGAAAATCAAATATTGAAAACGAATGTTGACTGTTGAATGTTGAAAACGAATTTTGAAAGTTGAAAATCGAATGTTGAATGTTGAAAACGAATGTTGAATGTTGAAAATCGAATGTTGAAACGAATGTTGAATGTTGAAAACGAATGTTGAAATGTGAAAATTGAATGTTGAAAACGAATGTTGAATGTTGAAAAAAAAAAAAAAAATATTTGAATGTTGAATGTTGAAATCGAAAGTTGAATGTTGAAAATGAATAGTACCAAAAAAAAAAATTGAAAAAAAAGTTTAATAAAAATTTTTTTTTTGAATGTTGAATGTTGAAAACGAATGTTGAATGTTGAAAACGAATGTTGAAAGATGAAAATCGAATGTTGAATGTTGAAAACGAATGTTGAATGTTGAAAATCGAATGTTGAAAACGAATGTTGAAAGTTGAAAACGAATGTTGATTGTTGAAAACGAATGTTGAATGTTGAAAACGAACGTTAAAAGTAAAAAATCAAATATCAAAAACGAATGATGAATGTTGAAAACGAATGTTGATTGAATGTTGAAAACGAATGTTGAAAGTTGAAAATCGAATGTTGAAAACGAATGTTGAATGTTGAAAACGAATGTTGAAAAAAAAAAAAAGAAAAAAAAAAATTGAAAAAAAAAGTTTTACAAAAAAATGAATGTTTAAAACGAATGTTGAAAGTTGAAAATCGAATGCTGAAAACGCGAATGTTGAATGCTGAAAACGAATGTTGAAAGATGAAAATCGAATGTTGAATGTTGAAAACGAATGTTGAATGTTGAAAATCGAATGTTGAAAACGAATGTTGAAAGTTGAAAACGAATGTTGATTGTTGAAAACGAATGTTGAATGTTGAAAACGAACGTTAAAAGTAAAAAATCAAATATTAAAAACGAATGATGAATGTTGAAAACGAATATTGATTGAATGTTGAAAACGAATGTTGAAAGTTGAAAATCGAATGTTGAAAACGAATGTTGAATGTTGAAAACGAATGTTGAAAAAAAAAAAAAAAAAAAAAAAAAAATTGAAAAAAAAAGTTTTACAAAAAATTGAATGTTTAAAACGAATGTTGAAAGTTGAAAATCGAATGCTGAAAACGCGAATGTTGAATGTTGAAAACGAATGTTGAAAGTTGAAAATCGAATGTTGAAAACGAATGTTGAATGTTGAAAACGAATGTTGAATGTTGAAAACGAATGTTGAAAAAAATTAAAAAAAGAAAAAAATTGAAAAAAAAAGTTTAACAAAAAAAAAATTTTGAATGTTGAATGTGGAATGTTGAAAACGAATGTTGAAAGATTAAAATGGAATGTTGAATGTTGGAAACGAATGTTGAATGTTGAAAATCGAATGTTGAAAACGAATGTTGAATGTTGAAAACGAGTGTTGAATGTTGAAAACGAATGTTGAATGTTGAAAACGAATGTTGAATGTTGGAAATGAATGTTAAAAGCTGAAAATAGAATGTTGAAAACGAATGCTGAATGTTGAAAACGAATGTTGAATGTTGAATACGAATGTAGAAATGTGAAAATCGAATGTTGAAAACGAATGTTGAATGTCGAAAACGAATGTTGAAAAAAAAAAAAAATAAATAAAAAAAAAATTGAAAAAAAAGTTTAACAAAAAAAAAATTTTGAATGTTGAATGTTGAAAACGAATATTGAATGTTAAAAACGAATGTTGAAAGATGAAAATCGAATGTTGAATGTTGAAAACAAATGTTGAATGTTGAAAATCGAATGTTGGAAACGAATGTTGAATGTTGAAAATCGAATGTTGAAAACGAATGTTGAATGTTGAAAACGAATGTTGAATGTTGAAAACGAATGTTAAATGTTGAAAATGAATGCTGAAAGTTGAAAATCGAATGTTGAAAACGAATGTTGAATGTTGTAAACGAATGTTGAATGTTGAATACGAATGTTGAAAGTTGAAAATCGAATGGTGAAAACGAATGTTGAATGTTGAAAGCGAATGTTGAAAAAAAAGAAAAAAAAAAAAAAAAAAATTGAAAAAAAAGTTTAACAAAAAAAAAATTTTGAATGTTGAATGTTGAAAACGAATATTTAATGTTGAAAACGAATGTTTGAATGTTGAATACGAATGTTGAAAGTTGAAAATCGAATGTTGAAAACGAATGTTGAATGTTGAAAACGAATGTTTAAAAAAAAAAAAAAAAAAAAAAAAAATTGAAGAAAAAGTTTAACAAAAAAAAAATTTTGAATGTTGAATGTTGAAAACGAATATTGATGTTGAAAGATGAAAATCGAATGTTGAATGTTGAAAACGAACGTTGAATGTTGAAAATCGAATGTTGAAAACGAATGTTGAATGTTGAAAACGAATGTTGAAAGATGAAAAACGAATGTTGAATGTTGAAAACGAATGTTGAATGTTGAAAACAAATGTTGAATGTTGAAAATCGAATGTTGGAAACGAATGTTGAATGTTGAAAATCGAATGTTAAAAACGAATGTTGAATGTTGAAAACGAATGTTGAATGTTGAAAATGAATGTTGAAAGTTGAAAATCGAATGTTGAAAACGAATGTTGAATGTTGAAAACGAATGTTGAATGTCGAATACGAATGTTGAAAGTTGAAAATCGAATGTTGAAAACGAATGTTGAATGTTGGATGGAAAAAAAAAAAAAAATAAAAAAAAAATTGAATGTTGAATGTTGAATATTGAACCAAATTGACATCCGTGGTTTCATGATATAGTATCAGCTCAATAATATATTTGACGAATGTTGAATGTTGAAAACGAATGTTGAAAGGTGAAAATCGAATGTTGAAAACGAATGTTGAATATTGGAAAAAAAAAAAAAAAAAAAAAAAAAAATTGAATGTTGAATGTTGAATGTTGAATATTGAACCAACTTGACATCCGTGGTTTCATGATATAGTATCAGCTCATTAATATATCTTCATAAGAGATGTCTTGACTGAGAAAGACTAACAATGGTGTATTATGATTGCACTAAAGGAAAACTCGTCTCCACTTGATAAAAACACCCTGATAAATTATATTGGTTATTTGCCAATTAAAAGGGCAAACAATATCCGCATTCAGGACCACAAGTTTACACAAGTTTTCCTGTGTGACAAAATTTTATATTTGTTTTATTAATTTGGCAGGCGCACATCAAATATAACAAGCTGCATGCGCATCATCATTTTATTTTCCATAGCGGTCCCGGTTCTATTACACTAAAAAAACAAGGTGGAGTATGGTACTATTATATTAAAAAAGAGATACCTTAAATGTACGAAAATAGTTTGTTTATTTAAACATTTGATTCAGCAGATATAATATTTTCAGCAATTAACAGTACTATAGTATATAAGGCAAGGTGTCATATAGCTTTATTTTACATATAAAGCTTTATATTCTCTGTATAACATGAGCTGCGTCGGATAGAAATCGACCGTATGCAAATGCACGTAAACATGTGCATGTATAAGACTTTGATTGATTGTTGAACATTCAAACACGTAATAAAAGACGAATTTGGTTTGTTTTGTATGATTTCTTATATCAACTCATTTTTAAAATAGTTACAGACTTTGCATAAAGATTATTCCTAACAGATATATTGATATTCATTTGCTTAAGGTCGGTTTTTATCCGACGCAACTAATATGTTGACAGGCAACATGCAGATAATTAGTTCTTAAACATTTATTTCAGCTTTTAACCTTGTTGTCATAACATCACTGCAACACCGGTGTCACTTCACGCCAAAACTAGTGGCCATGGGACTATTAGTTCACATCTTTGTTGCAATTGTCGCTTTAAACCTTGTTGGACGAGCCGCTCTGCAGACGAATCAATCAGTTCTTGATCAATTTCCGGAGTTTAATAGTTTGAAACAAAACTGTGAGAATTTGAAAAGGAGTTATCAGACTATTCAGTCTGATCTAGCAACAGTCAAATCGAAGCTTCAAAGTTGTAAGTTTACATAAAAATTTTTACATTAAAAGAGGTTGGTATGATAAGAGACATATTTTGGCCCAAGAAATTGAATTAGCTGGACAAAAAACTGCGAAAAATATAATTCGTGGGTTTGCCATATTTGTATGAGATATGTAGAACCAAAACGTCACTTTATGAAATGTTAAAACATACTTGTACATTTCTACCTAAATATGGATAAAAAGATCTCAAGAATAAAGATTTTTTTTGTACGTTTTCTTTAAATGCTAATTGAAAAACATGCAAATATGTAGACAACAAAAACATTTGTACTGATATTGGAAATACTCATGTCCTATTACCGAGTTCAAGGGGTCAAATAAGTTGACTGGTCATAACTTCTGTATTTTTCCTCATTTCTTCTGAAAAAGAGTTCAATGCAAAACAGTCCAAATTTGTTTTTAAAATATGGTTTGCCGTTCACATTTGTCAGAAATTAATATAGAATATAAAAAAATCTTCAGCGATTAAAACAGAAAAACATATTGATACCATGGGTTATGACAAGGTCAAAATACAAATAAAATTTAATTTGTACATGACTAACACATGGTTGTATACATAAACGTTGTTGTAACCGCCTATATATATATAGATATACCAAGTGATTGTGCCTCGATACTTTATTGTAAACTGTCACTTATAGGTAGAGGAAATGATGTCAAATGTCATTTCAATACTCTTATGTTTTAGTTTCAGCTCCGCGACCAGCCTTCTTAGCAATATGGACAGCAGATATAGTTACGTTAAGGAGTAATGACATAATCAAATTTAATCATATTGTCATAAACGTAGGCAATGGTTATAGTCCCGGAACAGGAAAATTCAAGGCCCCAAAACAAGGAACTTACTTTTTTGGAGGTACAATAGTGTCTGCTCCCTCTGATCCACTAAGTATGATGCTGATGAAAAGTGGAACAGCTATAATGGTTCCCTATGCAACCGGAACACAAGGGGATAGTTACACATTTACCGCCGTCCTGCAATTGAATGCTGGAGATACCGTTTATGTCCAGAACGATAATAAACCGGATAAGGCGTATGGCCGTTACCATTCAACATTCTCTGGATTCATGATATAAAAACTTGAAATCTGATCCGTCTGTTCATTATATACTGGGATTTTGAAATGCAATATATTATGCTTATTTTCTCCAGCAGCCATTTATAATTTTAGTCAGTGAGCAGTTATTGAAAGTAAATTTCCAGATAAACTGATATGATAAACTGTCAAATACCTGATAACAGAAATATCAAATAGCCACATGCACATCAGAAAACAGATATGCCAAACTGCCAAACTAGATGAAAGAAAACAAACTGTCATTTTCCATAAAAAAAGAAATTACAAACTGTTACACGGCGCCTTAAAATAAACTGAACACACCTGGATACATATTGCTTCGCTTCGCTTGCTTATTAATTAACAAATAAATATCTTATTCTTAAAGTACTGACTTGGTGTTTCTATTTACTCTTGTTAATTGTTCTAAATTCAGTCGGGATTAGGTATTCTAACTCTCGACGAACACAATGTTTTTAATTGTTCTAAATTCAGTCGAGATTAGCTTTTCTAACTCTCGCCGAACGAGATTAGCTATTATAACCTTCACTGAACGGGATTAGCTATTCTAACTTTAGTCGAACACAATGTTCAATCGTAAGGTTTTGTAACATGTGAAATAAGGACATGAAGGATGTACCTACGGAAGCCCATTCAGGACCTCCCGAAAATATAATTCGAATTCGATATCACGAATTTAAATTGTTATCACGAATTCTAGAATTCGTTATTACAGATTAAATTCGTTATCATGAATTTATGGAATTAGTTATAACAGTTTTTGTTATTCGTAATAACGGATTAAATTCGTTATCACAATTTTTTGTAATTCGTGATAACGGATTAAAAACGTGATAACGAACTTTATAATTTGTTATTACGGATTAAAATCGTTCTCGCGAAATTTGTGTAATTTGTTATCACAGTTTTTTTTTGTAATTCGTGATTACTGAATAAATTCGTTATCACAGATTATTGTAATTTGTGTTAACGGTTTAAAATCGTTATAACAAATTGTATAATTTGTGATAACGGATTAAATTCGTTATAACTATTTCTACGAATTTGTGATAACGAATTTAATCCGTTATAACTATTTATGAAATTCATTATAACAATTTTAATCCGTTATCACGAATTACCAAAAAAATGTGATAACAAATTCTACGAATTCGTGATAACGAATTCAATCCGTGATAACGATTTATACAATTCGTTATCACGATTTATAAAATTCGTTATTACAATTTTAATCCGTTATCTCGAATTACAAAAAATTGTGATAACGAATTTAATTCGTTATGACGAATTACAAAAACTGTTATATCTAATTCCGGAAATTCGTTATCACGAATTTAATCTGTTATAACGAATTCTTCGATTCGTGATAACGATTTGAATTTGTGATTTCGAATTCAAATATATATTTTTGGGAGGTCCTAAATGGGCTTCCGTATGTACCAGCAGAACAGATGTGTTTTTTATTGTTTGATATGTCATTACCGTGAGCATGTTGGGTGATAAGCCGACAAAAATCATTTGTTCTAGCGCGTACGTTTCTCTTTATTGTCATATATAATTTTGAGCGTGTCACACTTCCTTAGATAAGCCATACATACACAGATAGTGAATAAAGTTCTTCATCATACTGGAGGGAAATATCCGGGATAATTCAGCAATTTGATTGACAGGATATATGAGCTCATATACCCTGTGAAGATCCTGAACAACATTTAATATTCCTGCTAGATAACAGGAGTTAGTCTAGTGACAACCTATTTATTTCCGATTGACTTTATAACATCGTTATTTTAAGAGCTGATCTCAGAGAAAACCATGCAAAATTTCAAAAATTGTCCAGAAGCAACTATTGAGATTTGGTTTTTTGTGTTGTTTGTTGGAAGGTCCAATGACTCAGCATCACTTTGAAAGTGTTTCAAAATTATACCTGTTTGTGCTATTTTTAGTAACACGTGTTTATATTTTTAGCAAATGGGAAATCCGAAAATCTTTGAAATTTCATTGAAATCGCACAATTTTTGAACTTAGAAAAAAAAATATTCTGTTTTATATAATGATATATTCTATGATAGATCACAAAATATATGTTACAAATTAATGATAACTCATTGTATTGTCTGTTGTGTGGAAATTGGAACTCTGTCAATATTTAGAAGTTGTGTCAGTTTAGAGAGATACTTACGAGAGTTGTTTTCTGAGACTTGTAACTGTTAAAATAACGCTTAAAATTCTAATATTTTTGGCTAAATAGGAATAACCCCTTTTAGCCAAAAATATTAGAATTTTAAGCGTTATTTTGTGATAAATTATTGATGTTTAATAGCTTTTGCTGGTGATTTGATTATAAGCTGTATTTAGTTCGGTCAAAGTTACAAGGGAATTGATGCGAAATACATGAAATTTAAAGGATTTTTTTAACACATTCTATGATATTAGCTTAATTTTTTTTAGCCATATGTTTCAAAATGTTGCAAATTATAATCCCAAAGGCCATAAACATTTCACCATGAAAAATTGAAATTCATATTAAAAAAAAATACATTTTGCGGTAAAAACACATTTTTCAGCAAATTAATCAAATCTTCTCAATAGAATAGTTAAATGACAATGGATTGTTTAAAGGTTTCATTGTTTGTTTTGATACTTTCTTCATGGAAGACCCTTAAAGATATCCCAACTACATGGTGAATCTTTGGTCATCTTTTAGAGAAGCTGTTACCTGTTACCTAGTCTTTATCTTCCTCCTCCAGCAGGAGCTTCGCTTCTACAGCGTACTTCTTTATTTGCACCCTAACCCTTACACACAGGGCACTCATAAAATTGCTTAAAGTATATGTTCATAAACGTTGTTATTAGAAACAGTAACATATATACAGCATGCGGACTTATCCATCACCATGTAAACGAAGTTAACTATTTATTACTCAATCCACTCGTCCAGATTTCACTATTTATGTATCTATATATTAAACAGGCTAAACACTCCTGCCCTCGTATTAACGTTTACTGTTCAAACACCATCCTTGTTTAGTTGTTATCATAAAATCTAAAAGACTTTCCACTGTTCATTAGGTAAGCAATTATTTTATATATAACACTCCTGCCCTCGTATTAGCGTTTATTGTTCAAACACTATCCTTCAATCGGTCAACCAATTCGTGATTGTGAAGGTGCAACTTATGTAATGTCGATTTCAGTCGTTCTTCCTCATTACATTGTCGAAGCAGGTTTTGTTTAAGGAGATCACTCTGTTAAAGAAGTTCGTACAGTTTGGAAATGCTTAAGAGTAACGTATTAAATGAGACATTTAACGCCATAAGGTAGAGCAGAGGGTCTGCTACTGGTGGGAAATGGAACTTTACAATTGAAAATTGTCCTCTTTTCCCTGAGTGTGACCTACCGAATACGACTTATAATCGTATGTGTTCTTACATGAGAAACAGGACGAGTGCCACATATGGAGCAGGATCTGCTTACCCTTCTGGAGCAACTGATATCACCCCCAGTTTTTGGTGGGGTTCGTATTACTCAGTTTTCAGTTTTGTATTTAATGTTTAATTGTCTTTTGGTCCTTGTTTTTTTGGCCATTGCGTCGTCAGTTGAGTTTCGACTTATGAATGAGTGTGAATGTCTATTTGGTATCTTTCGTCTTTCTTTTTTATTCATTAAGTATGTCACAGATTCTAGTTTGAAGTCTCCCATATAAATTTCCTGTTACAAAACTTTGAATATTTCGAAAAACTTAGGATTTTCTTATCCCAGGAATAGATTACCTTAGCCGTTTTTGGCACAACTTTTTGGAATTTTGTGTCCTCAATGCTCTTTAACTTTGTACTTGTTTGGCTTTATAACTATTTTGATCTAAGCGTCACTGATGAGTCTTATGTAGACGAAACGCGCGTCTGGCGTATTAAATTATAATCCTGGCACCTTTGATAACTATATGTGTCAATATCGTGGAAATATGAAGATATAAAGAAGACTTACTTCTTTCGGTAGTATCCTTAATCTAAAGTTACTTGGAAATATAAGCACTGATTGAAACGTGAAAGGTAAAATAACATAAATACCGAAATTCAAAACGGAAAGTCCCTAATCAGTTGGCAAAATCAAAATCTCAAACACACCAAACGAATGGAAAACAACTGTCATATCCCTGAAGTGATACAGACATTTTCTTATGTAGAAAATGGTGGATTGAACCTAGTTTTATAGCTAGCTAAACCTCTCACTTGTGTAACAGTCGCATAGCATTCCATTATATTGACAACAATGTGAGTTATTAGTGACAGAACATCATCAATAAATTTCAAGGTGAAAAAAGAACTTTGCAAGATGCATTTCTGTATGGATGCCGCTTAAATTTGGCAAATACTGAAAAAAGAAAGAGCTAGTTTTAGCAAATTCAACCCACGACTGCCTGCCTGTATACTTTTCATATAGTTACGACTAAATAAAAAAAGAGAGCTTCAATTTAACAGCCTAATTCCTTCTTAATGGAGCTCTTTGCATTCCTGACAACATGTGATAAAAGTTCATATCATTAATTGCTTTCCGATTATTTACGATAAAAGCACCCGAAGTCAAAGCGTTGGGATTAGAAAAACAAATATGTAGTTTCTTTAAGTAATTCTGCCACCGATTTAGATTTAATTTTGTATTACTTTAATCATAATTTCAGTTTTAATTCTGCTTTTTTAAGAAAAAGTGTCCCAATGTGAAGGATTTTCTATTTCAATTATGCAGCATCAACCTATCAATGCAATATTTGCCACTCCTGACAAACCTTCAATAACTTTAAAATAATGTGGCCATGAGCATCACCGAAGAGACATAAATTATCAAAATGCGCGTCTTGTGCAACAAAATTGATACCGTCAATGTTATTATCTAGGTATGACATTAGATTTCGTTTTTTTCGAGATATCATGTAGTTACTTCTAAAACAACCAATTTTAAAAGTATTTCTGAATAAGCTAAATCTGAAGGACATCTACCACTATTATCGTCACGGATGCAGATCTGCTAAAGCAATCACTTAACCTTCATTTGAATCAACATTACAATAACCTTATTGATGAATACGGATGCACATCTGTTTCCGGAAATACATGTCATGCTTATCAAGTACTTGACAAAGCAACGGCAAATAGTGAAATTTTATACTTACTGGAAGATTTTAGTACTGTACTCTTATATAATTTCTGACTTAACAGACGCTCCTCCGCATACACCAAGTTTTAAGTTACTAAGAAAATCATATCTTATTTTATTTGAAGGAACAAAAGAAATTTAAGACGTTATATCTCCATCATGGATGGTTTAAATCTTAATCTAAACATGTTAAACCTATTTTGTTAAACAAT